TCTGTAGAATGGTCGAGGTAAGAAGGGCGTTGTCCTTTTTGTGAACAGTGCCGGGTTCCCGATTGGTCCGGGTCTTCGTTGTTCCGAAATCCTATCCGCTCACGTAGCTCGTCGATTCACTTCAGTCGTTCGTCGACGTCAATTGGACTCCTGTGGATCGGATAGTGACGTTCGTCATCGCTCTTTAACACTGAACCGTTCGTGGAGACCTATAGGTAATTTTCGATGCCTACACCCGTCCGATCCTTAGTATTAGCCCTTGGCGTTAATACTAAGAAGAGCTCATATCTCGCTTTAACCGAGATAGACGCTTTAAAGCTTCTAGATCTCACGCGGATCGACGAAGCTCTGCCCGATTTTCTCGGGGCAGATCTGATTGCCCGGTGGTCCACGGATATCAACGTCCTCGTCACAGGCCAAAGACCCACGCAAGCAAGAGATGATAAACGGATCTTGCGTTTGTTTGAAAAGAGTTGTATTTTTTTTGTTTTCATTGTGTAAGAGTCTTATAAAAAGGCTATCTTTTTGTTTCATTGTAACGATTAAAGTTGTAATGAATGCAGCAATGAATACAACAACTTTTTCCGCAAACATTGACCAAGTAAGGAGAAGGAAGAAGAGAGTTTTTTGCATAATGTTCGTCAGCCTCAAGATCATTTTTTAGTGGAAACACCTTTAGACAATTACCAACTTGCTATCTTCTACCATTAGTTCTTCATTTAAATTCTAAATCTTAAACATATTTGATCCATCATAGTGATTTATGATCTTCTTTTGATGTATAATCATGCTCATAGTGATATTTTGATGATTAGAACATGCATGTATGTTTGTTTTAACACCTAGAATTATAGAAATTTGATGAAAATTACTAAATCATATTTACTGTATTAGTTTATGTTGTTAGTATGTATCATAATTCATTTGTGATAAATATAGTGAGTTTCTCGACATTTCAACAAGTTTTTATAAAACGCTAGTTGCTAATTTGGTTCTCTATCATTCTAAGATCAGACATGGCATCCAAGACATCATATGTTTGGTTCAAAGTTTAGATGTCTGGTTTCAATAATTCAGATGCTTGAAAACTTGCACAACCTATTTTATTTTGTTTTATGAGTCGTTTGACTCTAACTTTTCGTATGAATTTCCTTTGATGTTAAAACTTTGTGACTGTTTTTGTTAGTAAACTTTGAGTATGTTGAAAGATTTGTTTGATATTTTTGAGCTACATTTTCATAATTATCCTATTGAATAAAAATTTCTAAAAATATGATTTTTGAAGTAGAATCTTTAACCTAAACTCTATATGAAGTTGTTTTCCATATGAAAATGAATTTCTTTGAAATTATATGGGCAAAAAGGTTATGATGATTCTTTTAACAATGACTCAACTATGGATGATAATAATTATACCTTTTAAGATTACACATGCAACTTATAGAAATTAGAATATGTAAGACATTTATATTGATTAACATGATAAATTTTTAGCTAAGATGGTGGTTAGCACAAGAGGTGCAAATTTGTTGCCTACGAGTTAGTAGTTATGATATGTTGAGAAGAGATAACATCATCAGATAGTTAAAACCTAATTTTCTAAACTCTTAGAACTCTATTTCATGTTAAGTACTGAGCAATGATGAATAAAGTGTAAGTGTCGGGATTTGCAACAATGTGTTTGATTTTCTCACTCGATAGTTAATCGTACAACATAAAAAAGCTCAGATTAGATGTGTAATCATCTTAAAATGACTTAATATAAAAATATTAGGTTCTAATGGGAAGAATAAATGATAAATTGGCTTTTTAAGGTGTCAAATTTTGTTTTTGCCATTTTGATAAGTTTTCCAAAATCCCGTTTTGGATTGTCAAATTGTGATTTTATTGTCTACCTTAAATTGACCAAATTATTATTTAGTTTCAAATAACGTATAATTAAATTAAGAGCACTAGGAATTGTAAAATGTTTTGTGCATGCTTGTATGCCATATCTATGATGAGTAATGAACAATTTTTGTCTTTTGTATATTAGTGTTTTGAGAAATAGAAATATCTTCAGTTTGAGCTATGAGTTCAAAATAGTCCTTTTGAAAAATACATCTGTTAGGAATGTTCCAGCATGGGTTGAGTTTAATATTGGCTCTGCTATGTATTATCTTCCGTATTCCTATTCAGTATCAATACTATCTCATTTTTGGATCATAGATGAATATATCCTATTGATCTTTCTTTCATCTGATTTTATAGTATAGTGATTCATATTTTTACTATTATGTTCTTTACATCCTATCTCTAGGTGGTACTTATTGTTATTTGGTCTGATGAATTTGTATTATTATTTTTGCCCTTTTTCTTATTTTATTTTAGGAGGTTGGTATATTTCAGAATAGAGAGTTAGTTGAGTCAAGAACAATGATATTTTAGATACATGTTGAATTTGCTTTGACTTTCAGAAATAAATTTAGTTTTAAATCTATTCCCCAATGATTATATGGTAAATGAAATCTTTTATACTATATTCCAAAATTTTATTTTTTGAAAAAAGGTATGTAAAAATAAGAGGCTTAATTATTATTTGGATATCATTACCGTCCAAGTGGTATGCTACC